CGGGACTCAAAACGGGACATAACTCAAAACGGGACTAAAAACGGGACATAACTCAAAACGGGACATAACTCAAAACGGGACTCAAAACGGGACATAATTCAAAACGGGACATAACTCAAAACGGGACTCAAAACGGGACTCAAAACGGGACATTACTCAAAACGGGACATAACTCAAAACAGAGAAATTGTGGGAAATGTTCAAACAAATTGGAATGCGATAACGACATATTTTTATATACTTTTGTTTTACTAAATGGCGCTAATAAGTCAATAAAAAATATTATTTAAACATGTTTTCCATAGCTTACATATCATCCGGAGCCTATATGCCATTCGAAGTTATATGTATTTTCATGTAATTTTAATAAGAGCCCATATTTCTATATTCAGTAATGTATGCTGATGTAGACATATTTGACATATTTATATTTCATATTTGACATGTATGAAAAAATACCGTTTTGTTTACTATTGTCCAATAAGGGGACCGCTGTACGTTTAAATAGCGTAGAGTGATACACTGGTACCGACTACAGCTGTTCTACTGGCTCTAGGTTGGGAATGTGACCGTTGCTTCATATGAGTACCAGTGTTGGCATATTGACAACATCTAGATATGCACGTATCCGTCACATTTTACGTACGTGTACCAGCAGGAGCAAGGTCATCAAGGATATCTTTTGCCTGATCGAAAAGTTATATGGAAGTATTAGTTCGTTGTGGTATAAATGATATATTTATATATCATGTGTTCAACTCTGATACTTTTTCATTCAGTCTGCTTCCTTAAACGAAAATGTTAAGTAATTTTTACATGTTAAAACGACATAGTGACATTTTATTATATTTAACATGTGCATCTCGCAGATCATCAGACGTACGCCTCATACAAATGTACACATATTACGATCATCAGTGAAGGATTCTATTTCAATGCTTTGTATAAAATGTCGTCTGCTTTTCTTTTCTTTTTATACAGTACATATACGCATTACTGACCATATCGAAAGCGAACCTACAGACATAAAGAGGTAACTAACACGCTACAAACGTATGCATACTACCATCGTGTCCTTAAAGCGAGGTTGCCTGCGTGCGACGTGACAAAGCAATGTCAAGCACGTGTGTGCTCAAACTTTCGACCTTCACGAGAAACCTCTTGCCGGTATGAAACAAAGTTCCACGTGAAGCTCAAAATATCATCATTTCTTGTGATTTTTATTACTTGAGTAATGTACTTTATGTGTTTTACAACAAAAGGGATAGCTCATGTTATAATATATACCAGCCTGTGCTATTTTAAATTCTTGTAATGTATAGCGGCTTTGTTTACGAGTTAAACAGCTGATTTCAGAGGATGAGTAATGTTTAATGTCATAGTGAGGCGGGATCAGTGTTGTACTGTTATCAAGGACGAGAACGCCCCGTTAAAGTGAGATTGTTTGATGTCTCAAGTATCGCTAAGTGGTGTGATTGGATGGCAACACGCTATATTCATCAGATTCATATGACTATGTATAATACACACCAAACCATCACTCACTGTACATTGTATAGACTGTAGATCAATGCTACTATGCATGACTCAGAGTGTTATGTAAATAATTTAATGAATATATATATATATGTTATATTTGCCAGATCAAACGCCACATCCATATTTCGTGCATTCCATTGCGGATTGTTTAAAGAGACATTAGTAAGGTATCTGCAAATATAGAATATGCCAATGTCTTCAGTATCATTTCAAAATTCCCTGTTTATTTCTGTCTATTTGGCCAAACAAAAGCAGATATTCTATCTAATATGAACCATGATACTGGGCACTAAGATACACTAGATAATCTCACGCGTTAATAACAATATGATGAAAGGTTTACGGCAATCGTTACAGCGCCAGGTTGTCCGCTTCATAAAAGAAAGGTGTGTTTTCTTTATTGGAAGATAGCGCCTGTCTTTGAAATGGGTAATTTATGTCTTCTATAGGTATAATCAGTGATGACAAATTATCCTGTTCGAGGAGTGCATATTGCTTTTATGAGTTTCAAGTAAAAGTTTAAAACATAAATATTAAGATGGTATGTATGTGTCTAAACGTTAAAATAAAATGTGGTTTGTGCAAGTAAACAGAGGTTAATTGAATACTAAATTGAAAAATAAACTACGATTTAGTGAAAAAAAAAAAATGGAATCTAGTGAAAATAAAACTGAGATTTAGTGAAAATGAACAGAGTCTTAATGAAAATTAACAGAGATTTAGAAAAAATTAAAATACTGATATTTTGTAAAAATGCAGATAAGATAAATGGCAATAAATAGATTTAGTGAAAATGCACCGATGAAAAAATACACAGGTTTAGTGACAATAAATTGAGGTTTAGGGAAAATAAACAACGGATGTTTAATGTAAAAGATCAAGAGATTCAGTGAAATAAACACCTAGAGACAAAGGACAAGAATACAAATAATACCTACGCTGACGATATCAATGAATTACACATGTGCTAAAACTTTAACCAATAAATTGCATACTTTGAAGGCCAAGTGCACTGTGAGATGATGAGCTATATTCTTGTTCCGGCGTTTCCTTTCTTATTGAAACACAAAGAATGTTAATATATATATATTTATATGTGTATACTTGATCAGAAAAACATTTCAAAGTCCTTGTGATAGTTAAATATAAAAACAAAAAAAGACAAGAGTTTCTTCGACTTCGACTAGAGCTTTCTTCTCTTTAGAGGTTCGACAGGGGAACTGTTTATTCATGTTGACAGGAAAACAACACAACACAGAAAGTGACTTTTTGATCGTTACAAACAGATTATCCAACAAGTTGAAAATTACTTTTTGACTGCCACAGATCACTTTCTATGTTGTGTTGTTGTCCTATCAACATGAATAAACAGTTCCCCAGATAAACCTCTCGAGAGGAGAAATCGCTAGGGAAGACGAAGAAACTCTTGTCTTTTTTTAAATGTATAAATGTTTATATGAAATAGAATATAAAGCCGTTAAAGGATGTTTGTATGCCGTACTTCCCTCCCCTGAATTGGTTTTAACAATTATGTAAATCCTCACACCCAATATCTGTTATAATTCCAAGAAAAAGCTTGTTATAACTTTTAGTTTTAAGTCATGTACCAAAATATGTACATGTAGTTAGTATTATTGTATTAACAGCAAATTAATTAATCAATGAAATATATGTACTTATGCTTTTACAGTTTATATATTAAGCTTCACTTACAGAATTGTTTTTTTTTTTAAATCGTCTGTTATTGAAATGTTGATAGAAAAAAATGGTTTCGTGAAAGTTTTGGATACTTTTAAACATTTTTTATAACATTTATGAACAATAGAATATGAATATGAATCATTAATAAAGGTATGCATTAATTTCTCTTTCTTATGAGATCGATGAAACTAGCCGATATAAATATCTGATAAAACATTATTAGTTGTACACTAAGCAATGTTTTGACAAATTGTCTAATTATGCTTTGTTTATTTTTTTCACTCTCCAACGGTCAGTTCGTGAGAGTCTTGGACAGAAAAATCAATGTTGTCAGGATAAGATCAGTGACGTCACAATGGTAGTAGTTAAGCTGATCTAATGTTGTAATACTATCACAACACCTGTTGCATATGCATTACTGCATGCTTATCGTAACAGTATATTAATGTGGGACCCCCTACATAATGCTTTTTCTGCTAGAACATTTGAGAAACCAAACTAAATCGAGTTGCTGCTTTCATTACAATACTTTATACTTTTGACCTCTATAAATATACAACATTTGATATAGCGCCCTATCTAGCTAACCTAAGCTACTCTAGAGCGCTTTACAGAATATAGATATACAATTTATACAATCAATACAATGATCAATGCAATTTAGAGGAATTCGCAGGAGTTGCATTATCAGGCGCTGACTACTAGTCCTATGCCACCTGGCTAATATTTCCCTATGTGCGTAATCCTGCGTGTGTGCTGGATAGGTACAGTGTATTGTGTTCTGTTTGTATAGGACCATGCTTCCAACGGTATCTTTTAAAGTGCCACCTCACTTGAATGATACAGCACAAATACCAACAACATCCACCCCAGACCATTTTATACTCCACCTAGGTTGTTTGAGTTGTGTAGGCAGGAAAAAAACAACTTTCTCTTAATATCCATACGTACGTCTTCAGGGATCGAACTCCAACCGCCTTCGTGGAAGGCCGGAGTGTTAACCACTCGACCAATCCGCCCATATTACTTACAATCTTAAAAAAATAATGTAAGACACATGGGTGCCCATCAACCAATCCGCCCATAAATATTTCCTATTTTCTGTCTTACTAACCATTTCTTTTCGACTTTGTCTCCCTGCGCACTCTTCAATTTGAAATCATTACATGACCTTACAAAAACACCAAAATGTTGCTCCTATTCTTTTTCTTCTGCGCGGATTCATGAGATCAAACTAACTGCCTGATTTGCAACACTTGGAACCTCTACATTCCTCTCTTTGTCTTTACACCACAGACACAACTTGTTAACATGTTGTCAGAACATTACGATAGGCAAGACGTTTCTAATGAGATGATATTTAAAATGACCAATGCGTGACCAAGGCCCGCATTCATGAAACCACTCTCATTTTCAAGCATTGATTTTGAGCTCAAACAAGCTTATTTTTAATTCGCCTAAGCATGTGTCACAGTTATAAAGGTCAATGGTAGCAATGGAAATGGCATATGGGTTTAATTCTCTCCAGAATATATATTTTTTTTATTATTAATTTATCACCGAAACAAGAATTAAATTGGAGCACAGAATCTATGCTTGTGCATGAGAACGGTTTCATAGGTACAGGCCCTGATCATATGTAGCCACCGTCTGTTGTGAGGATATTAAACAATTAAACTGTTTGCCCAAGTACAGTAAGGAAAATGAAACGGAATCCAAGTTGTGACAGACTAGTGTGATGTGAAAGCAAACATATAACAGTATATAGGAAAATATATCCTTTATTTCATAAATCAACAATAGCTTCACCAACAACAGAAGCACATCATAAGTAATTAGATGTTATACAGGAAAAACATATTTTAGCCTGTACTCATCATAATCATCTTGTATTTGGTCATTAAATTTAATAAGTGTCTAGCATTAAATATAATAAATAACAAAAACTGAAATGTATTAACATATCAATTCCACAGACACTGTGGTCCAAAGTGTCTTTGTACTCATAACCGTACAACAGAATTTTTTCAAGACAGATCATAATGTAAACGAGATATTAAGCAAAACCATCAACTCAACCTTTTTAAAATACATAAAAATAGATAAGTAAGCATATTAAAAAAAACCGACAACTAAAACAAACAAATAAATAATTTGCATTTGGGAAAAGAATATACATGTATGTTCTTTCACAAAACGTAAAATAATAGTAAGTGCCACATATATGTAAAAATCTAATGACGGAAGGTATAGCGCAGACGGATATATTTCACAACGGCTTGGTGCAGTGTAGTCTGAGACGTACTACCTGTACCTATGTGTGGCATTGCTTTTATAACACACCTTCAATTGTTCTTTAAAAGCATGCTACATTGTTTTATTATTACCCCAGTTAACGAACCGAACAAAAGCAGAAAAGACGACAACGAGGACACAATAGTGACGTCACGTTACCAAAGCGTCGAATGACGTTTAAATGTTGGTAACGTTCCTGTTTCAATTTATCCATTCGATCAGTGGGGATAGCAATCAATTAGTAGTAGCAAAAGCTCAGTTCTTGCTACTTGCGTCATACAATATTATGTATTATCACAGTATGAAACACGGATGCTTGAATTGTATGGCCTGAAATATGATTATCACCGTATAATCATTCACGAGGTATGTAATACAAGTTTTTATATTGCCGGCACAATAGGAGCAAATGACTAAATCGCGCCCTCTAAATATACCTCAGTATGTCAATAATCAGAACATGAACGTTAATACACACGTGTAATTAACACTTATAACAATATACAGGGACAGAGTTCATGCAAACACGTCTATGGGCTTTGCTAATTGACAAGAGTCCATAATGGCAAAACCTTTCCAAAGCAAACTCCAATAAGTGTTTAATGATATTTACATAGTAAACAACAAATAAGAGAAAAGCATACTAAATCGCATGAAAGATACAAGTAGTGCCATTTGTCTGTCTTTACACAAGTAATTATCGCCATGACTCACAAAACAAAGTGCTGTACATTTCGGAGGGGCTAAATTTTCGCAGTTTTCTTTCTCGTAGCAAATTCCCTGGATTTCAATTTCCGAAGAACATCGATAGTCAAATATTGTTTTCTATAAGAAACCAAATTCAATCGATTATAATTTACGGGTTCTTTTCATAAATAAAATGGGAAAATACAATAACAAATTAAAGCGCTTTACAGTTTACGATGGAGTATGCGTGTAACCCCTGAGGTATCAAACATTTGGCGATGACATAAAGTGTACTCAAAGGTATTTTCTCGCATATTTAACATAACATTGTGATAGAGAGTTAGGCGTTAAGCTAAATCATTGAAACCTCGAAGTTTTAGTGAAGGCCGGGTTAGTTTGATTAAGCATAGACCTAAAGAATAAATTATATATATTCCTTATCATGGAATACAATACCTGATTTTGTACTGGTTCTTAACAACAATCAACAAGTAATTATAATAACAATTAAAAAAATTCTTTTAAATATGGCAATTTTACACATCCGTATTCTCGTAAGTTTGATCCAGTCGTTAAATTAAGCTGCATAGGGGACGATTAATTGTATCATGAGAAGCGTTAGGTAATTAATTGCATGCTAACTTTAAAAAAAATGAAAAATTATTTCAGTGCTTACCTCAACCAATAATATAAAATATCTATTATATTTATAAAAAAAAATCAGTATGAATGAACAAAGCCAGATATTATGCAATTTTTTGAGTATTGGCCAGTAGGGTTATTTTCGAGATTACAAAAATACATTTTTTACGGACGAATATAATACAAAGCCCATAGTGTCGCATATGATTCAAATGCATTCAGCAAAAAAAGCGTTTAAGCAGTATATAGGAAAGTGAAGTGAAGTCCAAAACCTACAGCGTAAACTGCACAAAAGCCTTCCAACACGTATCAAGGATTTTGTCTGCTACTAAGCAATATAAAACAAAATTGTAATTTATGTAAAATAACATATATAACAAAAAAAATCATCAAAATAGAGCCAACAAAAGTAAATTTGCATACTTTCCTGACATACTTTCTGAATAAATGAACACACGATTTTAGTCTAGATCATACGTTATTTGTTTGCTGGACGTTTAATTATATAAATCTAGGCATATTCGAATCATTATATATCACCTGATGTATAATCAAATATTTAAGATGCATCAAGTTAACATGACAACAATATAAACAACAACAAAAAAAGGAACAAAACCACATATGTACACATACAACCATGATGTTTGGTTAGTCCAGATCATAAATAAATCCATTCATTATGCATTATTTAGCTGAAGTGTTGATGCCCCGGCCCGATATATCATTTGCTAGGTAAGTCCCCTACCATATCACAAATATACAAATGTCTATTCAATAGAGTATATTTCATATTTTCTATCTAAAATGCATATAGAGATCACTCAAATGCCCAATGATTCAACTCCATAAAGTTCAACTCAATAAAAGTTAAAAACATTGATCAAATCTAAGTAATACAATCATAAGCATGTGATTTGCAGAGCTGTGCGGGTACCTCACAACGGGTTCCGGTAAGAGTGGTTAGACTATACATATAATAAATTAATCTAGAGAAGGCCAATGAAGGATAACGTTGTACATGTTTAAGGGCTTCGATATTATTTGAACGTATTACCCCTCTCTTCATCCAGATTCATTTTCATGAAGATGTGACTATCCATCAACGAGATTAATCAGCACCAGATAGGTATGGTTCCAAGAAATTTGTATATCGTGTCATGATAAAATCATGTAAAGATCTAACTCCATAGCGATTAAATATCAGTTCATAAAACTCAACTTCACAAAGAATCATTCACAAGAACAATCATTGACATTAGCTGTAATACTGGTGTAGTCAAAAGAAAGTTTTCCTCAGCTTAAAATGGTGGGTATCAAAATGAATGAAGCTTTTATATGACGTACGATGATTCTGATAATTGCTTTTAAAAGACATCAAGCACCACAATCGAGGTCCGTACAATATATGTACCAGATGAGGGTAATATATAAAATGTATGCTTAGCTGTCTGTTTTACCGGGTACAATAAGGAAAACCTTCTGCATCAACGTGTTGAATTTATCTGAAAAAACAGAAAGTTACATTTGTAAACTAAACTAAAAAGTATTTCATATCTCATATCACAGATCAACTACTTAAGAAAAAGGAAACAATGGGAAATAAGAAGATGCCAATTCAACAGAACTCGGGACTTCCCTGATTTCTAGCAATAAGATAGAAACTCATTCCGCAGCGAATGTGGCACCGCTATATACACATACATGCATATGCAAGTATTTTTGTTGTTGTTGTATATTGTTTTTGAAGTAACAGGAAATTCTACTGGCTTATCAAGACAACACTTTGCAAACGTTACACCATGAATTAACATTGAAAATTACCGGACATGACGTCAAAGTGGATTAACATATCTTTCTTAACTCGTAGAAATATCTTTATATGCAAATAAATATAAAAAGCGACTTTGTGATTCGCAGATGTATTTTACTGTCAAAAATATCAGTTTTATAGAATTGCAGTAGTCAATGGATCGATCTTTGTCTGCAGACTGGGGTAGGGGAGGAGGAAGAGGGTTGATGTTATCCCAATAGTCAGCCATTATCGTTTATATTTACATACTTTAGCATGACTATCATCGGTTGATATTTAAGCATGAATTACATGATTGAAATCTTTATTTATACTCACTGCTCTAATGTTGAAAATAATTTTATTATAAGTTTATTCTAACTCTCAACTACTTTGTAATTACTTGTTGTTTATTACTTGTATGACAACGTGTGGTAATTGCAAAGTATTGTTGTTGTTTTTTTGTATGACAACGAGTATACAGACAAATAATTGTACATATAACAACTTGTGAACTTACCCATATAAGGTACTGGCAGTTTCATGTAGACAAAAGGAAAGTAGAAAAACATTCCACTAGCAATAAATATACAGGCGTATATAAATTGCACTCTCGGAGACTGTATGACGGGTGATATTAGCAGATACGACGCTATTAGGAAGACAAACACTGGGATGATGATGGGGACCTGTATAAATATAAAAAATAATTACTTAAAATTGAAGCATTATCATAATGTTTCATTTATAACTAGATTTTATATTCCCCTTTATACAAGGGTATTCGTATACCATTTATTTTTACAACCTGAAACCAGATAAAAAGTATAAAAGTTTAAACCAGAACAGAAAGATAAAGTTTGTCAATGGCTTTTATAATTTGTCTCTGTTTATGATAAAATTAAACTTAATTCATCCACGACCTTGTATGGCTTTGGGTTTTTTATAGGGAAAATGTGAAAACATTTTGGTCAAAGAAATATTAAAAACAATGTTGCGGTATTTACCGGATTAATATGAAACGCAATACATGCATGCTGGTCTGACACTTACCGTATATGGTCTATGTAAATTTGGTTGTGTGTATCGGAGAACTAATACAGAAAATATCGTCATACTGTAAAGAAACCAGGCGGAGAATCCGTAAAAGTCCATCAAAGTACTGATATCCCCTGGTATAAGAATGGCGAAGCCTACCACGGACTGTAACAGAAGATTATTCATGATTTGTATAACGCTAAATGAGTCATCTTACTTCATGCAATATTAAAATGTTATTTAACGCTAACTGAGTTATCTCCCTCCATGCAATATCAAAAAATGTGGTTGTGTACGATTTGTCTCCCTTATTTTCTCACAACTACAATAGTTATCGATTATTAATGAATATCATATTATGATAATCAGTATCACCAGTATTAACAGTAAACTATGGTTATTTACAAACACCAATAATAATTTACAGTCACCACTAATAATTTACAATCACCAAAATTAATTTCATACATACTGCTCTATCTTGAGAAGACGAAAACTCATATATAGAAAAATGGGAAGTCATGTGTCGTACTCACCGTAAACAGGACTGAGGGTAGAGGGGTCAGTCTATTCATGTTGATGAACGATAACACCTGGGGGAAGTTTCCTCCTCTAGCTGCTACATATACCAGTCTACAACACGTGTAAGGCTAATTTATTCGTCGCAAAAAAGTAAATGTAAATAACCTAACAAAACTAAGCTATCTTTATTGTTATATGATAACTGCCCTAAGCCGATATAGATGATCAATGACAAAACGTTTTGTTATAACACTCGACATAGACTCGATATAGAGAACTAATACTTTACGAAAACATAATTCAACAATTACGAGTTCTTGTATAGTAATGACACAAAATAAGATTATGACCAGGAGTCACTAGGTACATTATAGGGGAGGCAAATCCAACAGCCTAAATTCTTGACGTACCTGGATGTGGCGAAGAGACAACCGTTAGCTGCACCCAAACAGGATATGACGACAAACAGGGGCACGATCCAGGCCATCGTTCCAAGCATATGATCACCCCACGTCTAGAACAAGAACAGGCATGTTTAAATAAACACTCCAGAAACCGCATCAGTAATCAATTTCTTTGAAGGAAGGTACATGTATATATCGATATTTTTTCATTGATTCTTTGGTACATAAATGCAAATAAGATGTATATTAGATAAAAAAAATCAAGCTTGCTCTCTAGATGATTTCTATATATATATATATTGTTGTTTTCATTAATCGTAACCGATTTAAAAAAAAAAAAAAAAAAATTTTATTTATTTTTCAACAATTGAGATGCAAGTTTATCAAGTTATAGAAATACTTTTGTTTGCCCGGAGATGAGCGGTAGGGGGATTTAAATTGGATGATACTGGAGAACTCGGAGAAAACCCATATTGACGGGCAGGTGAAACAAACCCCGGCTCTCTAGGTGAAAGACGTGTTCGCTATCCGCAGCGACAACTGACCACTCCATAATAAGATATTAACTTATAATAAGGTGGGAATAATAGCTGTTAATGTTCCAGTTATGCCAAATGGAAAGTCTTGAATTGTATGGTCAATCTCCGTAGACTCCTGAACACAATCCAATTTAAAATAGATGGTCTCTAACGTTTTGTGTGCACTTACCACAGCGACAGCGTGAGACTCAAGAACTTCGTGTTTAGACATAACTGCGAAGTAGCCAATGTTAGCAAAGAGATAACAGACTGTGGTCAAGGGAATACCAATGATGATAGCTAAAGGCAGATTTCTGAAAAGAGAATTTGTTTAATTTAAATAACTTTGTGTACTGGGTTTGCTATGTGAAAGAAATCCTCAATAAATAAATTTTATTATTATTATCATTATAAATTTATATTATTATTATTATTATAAACAGATTCATTCTTTAAATTCTCTTTTAATTTCCGGAAACAGGAAGTAAACAGCAAAACATAGAAACAAGATATGGAGACGGAATACCATAATAAACAAAAAGGTCATTTCCGGATATTCTATTGATGGCTTTAATATATATATCATGTACATAACATTTGTAAATGTGACGATTTCTTTAGGTATAAGACCTGACCCATTAGTTCATTTTTTCAAACACCAAAACAGATGCTGGAAGTAGAATTGATGTTATTCGTGAACTGTTACCGTTTTGGTTCTATATTTCAAATTCAATTGATCTGACTTCCCCTTTTCCATTGATCATTTTGTTCAGTTTTTGGGACTGCCACGTTGACATTTATGCACTTAAGAGAAATAGGTACAGTAACTACACAATTTCGTAATGTAATAAGTAATAAAACAGAAACTGGCAAAACACACATGTGTTGAATTTGAATTTTTTTTCTTTAACAAACAATTATAGATGTGAAAGGTTTGTCAAATAGAAACTTTTCTAAAACATTGGACGAACATTGTATATTCAACCAATCTGAGAATGACTGCAGATTACAGTATAAGCTTAACAAGTTTAAAACAGCAATGCATAGCAATGGCTATGCACAAAAACCGCAAGTACACACAGTAATCAAAAAGTTTGCGATTATTCAGTAACCAACCTTTGAGGACTTTTCAATTCTTCTGTAACCAAATTCAAGTTATTCCTACAACAGAAAGAAAAACGATGTTTTGCTTACACAAGATAACATAATTAACTCTATAATAAACAGGTAATGGTCCTTTCTTAACATGAGACAAAGTTTAGAGAAAGTACTTGATGTAAAGCAGATGCATTTAACTTGAAACCACAACATATCTGTTTTCAAAATGAATATATAATACATATTTAACATAAATTAATAGCTTAACTGATTATCAACACAAGTGTAAACGCACCATCCATCAAAGGCCCAGAGTCCGTTGTAAAAGGCTATCGCAATAAGGCCTACATTCTCACTCGTCCCTTCAAATCCTTCCGCTAGGTGTTCAGCGCCATCTGGAGGAAACAAATAACGATGAGCAACAATAGCAAAACGATTATCCAATGTTAACGAGTTATCTACTTAAAAAGGAATTCACACGGTAGTAGCCGCTTCATCTTCATATATGTGTGTATCCTCCATTCATCTTTCAATAACGCTGCTGGAAAATTTCATAGTCCACAAAGTTTTGCCGTAACCTTGAAGGCCACAGCACTTTCTTTGGCGTGGTGGCAATGTTCATACTATACACACTTTACTCAGCAGTGCAATTATGTTTTGGCATTATTAAATTTCAAGGTAATTTCACCTGTGTGAGTTTTACTTTAATCTTTCAAGATTGTAATTATTACAATGTACCTGTGGCCAGTTTGTATATTCCGCCGACGGTGATGATTGCTATGGCAAGAAGCTTAGCAATGGTACAGAACGACTGGAGCCATACGGCGACCTTGACACTTGTTATATTGATGAATGTGACGATAACTGAAACAATAAAAAAAAATGAGTTTTTAAATAAACGCATAATTTACATGTGGGCTTGATGTTTTCCTTAAACAATTTAATCAATTCCATATTAATGTCATTTGCCGCCGATTGTTTTGCTAAAAGGATACACAGTGAATGTACGTGCCTTGTTTGCAAAGCAATACGTTTTCATCAAATTATGCAAATGTAGCCATAAATAGATAAATAGATAAAAAGTAATCACGTGTGATTTATACAAATATTCAAATATTTGTACAGTATAAATATACGACATTTAACTATAGACGAATGCGTCTTATACAATTCTTGCAATTACTTCAAAGCGTGCTATGATATATACAGTATGCATACAAATTTAATAAAATAGACATATTTGAATCAATCGCATTGTGATACGTACGCATGGCAACGGCTGTGATGAGCTTCACTGCTGGAAGAGGTGGGTCACAATCTGGGAAAAATGGTTTGGCGACGTAGGTACCAAGACTAAGACTGATAAGGGCGAACTGGGTCGGGCGTATAATAAACAGGGATACCTATAACAACAACATGTATATTATACGTAGCTGGTAAACAAAAATATCCTGATATTTCTATAATGATAATTATAATAATATGAGGTTCGTATATACCGCTTTATCACAACCTAGTCCGTAGGTCGTCTCAAAGCAGTTCACAAGTTAGCATCCGTGGCTCCAAACATTTTCTTTCGGTCGGTAGGATTGACTTGTAGAAAAGGTTATGTATCACAACCATTTAGAGTGTTTATATGTGACATTTTGATAACTGGTACGGTACGTACCCTGTCACCTTTATCAGAAAAATGTCCAGATATGCTGATTTAATGTATAAATATTAAATGAAATAGGAGGGAGGAGCGAAAAAAAGGATAAAAACAATAAATAGAAAACAAATATTTCATAGAAAGACTTGTTGAAGTAGATTGCCCACATCAATTTGACGTTTTGATAATTTTTCACAAAAGCAAATGGTAAAACATTACATAATTCAAAAAAGACAACCAAGGCAAAAGATTACATAATTAATAAACAAACAGGACGAAATGAATATTGAATTATTCATAAACGTACCCAGTCAAATATGAAGGAAGGAATAGCTCCAAATTTGCCCATATGTCCATACGTAAACATCAGATAGGAGTGCTCGCCTCCAGACTTTGGTATGGCGGTACCCATCTCGGCATAGGATAGTGCACCTAACAACAAAAATATACACAAATGCTTGAAATTAATTTCCAAGTTTTTTGGTGAGGTGGTGCAATTTGATTTGATATACAATACTAATGCCCGTACCCCATTTAATATCCTAAAAACCCTTGTTAACATTAGGCGAACAATTAACGGATGGCAATTGGAAGTACCTAGTTTATAAATGTGTAGGTGCCAGTACATGTATACGAATATTTATCATAAATATTAAGTTGTTTTACATTTAAATACTTCTTTGTGAATATGCGCATGCTCCAAGCGTATTTTTATCCTCTCTCTTTCATCTTTGACGTCTATTTATTTCTCTTCGCCTTATATCATTTAAACTCGTTATACAGATATTGAAATGTTGCTGCTATCATTTATATCTATTTTGTTCAATCAAAACCTTCAGTTTTGTCAATGTAAATGTCTGTACAGGAAACAGATTTATATAGGTTCAGAAATAACTAGTCAAAACTATTGTCATACCAGAACGGAGGATTTTCATGCAAAATTAGTTTTTAACAGTGGTAGGGGCTCCCTTAAAGAGACAAGCAAAGATATTGATATGACATCTAGGCTTTTTTTGCATATAGTTTTTCTCCCTCTCCCAAACATGTCCCTTCGTGACATCAAAAGACTATTGTGTTTCGACAACGAAGACGCCAGGTCTACTTATATAATTATGCTATACAGGAGAACAGGTCTGTCTTATTAACAAGGGATTTGAATGCTGTACTATACTCACCCAGCGTAACGACGAGGCCACAAAGAGCCCAGATGATTAGGCTCATGGCCACCGACCCAGTACCTTCTAAAATGCCTTTTGGGGATATGAATATCCCTGAACCTAAGGAAATAATGTTACGATATTACGTAGTTTGTACCATATGGTATGAATGTAGCATACACTTATTAGATCAGCTCATAACTGATTCAGAATAATGTATGTAGCAAAACGTTGATGAAATAAATACCTAACTCAGAGAGTCTACATAACATAATCGATTTTAAAAGTAAGAGTTAAAATTATTTGACATCAATATGCTGACAAACACAAAATTAATATTTATACTGAATTGCTTGGCTGCAGTGACGTGCAGAGTACCAAAACGAAAACACACAAACAGAGAAAATTAAAAGGACCGTGCTACCCTTGTATGCGATCGAGACAATAATGTAGCCAATGATATTACACTCATCAAATATCAGCTAATGAGGGTTTAAACACCAAAGGCGGGGCTGACGGTTACATTACTCAAAAACCATGGAGCAAACAATTATTGTACTGATTATTTTGAATATCTGGAGTCATCTATCCATTGAGCTGATCACTGACGCTCTCGAACTAACTTTTCTTGCAGAGTGTATCCACATATCCTGTGACGTGTACTCACCTATCATGGATCCGACGATGAGGCCGACTCCAGTAAACAAGCCCACACTTTTCTTTAGCTTCACCTCCCCACTGCTAGAGCCAGAGTCCATACTAGAGGAAGCAGAATCTGAAATAGAACAACATCAAAATAATGTCATGCTTACATATCGCTTCAAAGTCTCTATGGTCTGGACAAATGGCAAAGTATTTCACCGGTCAGATTATTGACATCTTCAAAAAAAAAAAACTTGTCTTCTCCAGATAATTTTGATAATATTTAATCTCGTTCCAGCTAACTTCACAGCTTCACGACATCTAACCTGACGGTGACATTTCTTTGGTTTGATTAAACGTATCCACAACAGATAAGGTCATATAAAGATTATCTATTCTTTTGAACCTGCAAGGGTTCCTGAAAGTTAAAACTCATGCATCACTATACCCTTGGTATAACTGGAATGCATTATTCGTTTAACGGCATAACCGCTCAACGTAGTTATGTATATCCGGCTATATACATGTTTGTTTAAGTACAGTTAGATAGCACAATTGAGGGGGTTGAAGGGGAAAACGAAAATGAATAAAAATGCTTTTATAGGTGACGCGAAATCCTTCACTAAATGTGTTATAGCGGTCTTGAAAAATTCAAAAAAATAATTTCACGCCAAATAAAGTACACCATGATACACTGAAAATACATTTTCCTGTTAATTCATGAGTGGAATAATTACAGATTCTATTTTTCTCCGAATAATCCATAAATGCTACCAATATCATAATAGCATCCTCTCAAATGTTAATTGATGCATTTGAGAATGAAACAAACCAGCATAGTTCAGTTCACGTGAACATAAAGTGATTTACAAAGACCAGATTTGCTGAACTTCACACCATGTTTAAGTTAACACATCGTCACGAATGTCTGTAATTATCTCAGAGTGTAGACATCGTCTTTTGCTGGTTTCATACTCTTTACCTTGTTAACAAAGGGAGCATAACATGAATATTCGACTAAGGAGCAAGATACCAGAGACAAGCAGGTCTATGTTTACTTTCTGTCAGTAAGTGTTTAATTAATTAGACAGATATACTTCTACATTGCAAAGATCTTTCTAAAACATTCCTAAAATAAAAATGTATTAACGATAAAACATATTGTCCTAAATCCCATGAACGAAATCTAGATTAAACATATTGCGGGTATTTTCTGGATTTCCATTTAGACTTAAAACGTAGTTTATTGTATGTTTCATTCTAGTAATAATAATATGATAATAATTCGAGGTTCTTATATACCGCTTTATCAGAACCTAGTTCTTAGGTGGTCTCAAAACGGTTCACAAATTATTATCCGTGGTTATAGGGCCTTTGCCAATATCTTTCTCAACTCCCTGGTTAGCATACAGCCGGTGCTGCCATTTCGGCGCTCACAGCTAGCATTCTACAATACTAGCACTGCCCAACCACGTGTTCATATACAGCTGAGTAGACTGGAACAAGCGGAGTAAAATATCTTGCTCAAATATACAATAAAGAGCCGTGCCGTGACTCCTACCCGCAACCCCTCGGTCACGAGCCCGGCGTCCTAACACTAGACTACCATGTCTCCAAAGCACCTTAGCGTAGCATATGAAAATATAACAATTCATCAAAACTTATTAAAAATCATCTATTTTGTTGACATTTTAAATTATGATACCCGAACTCATCATTAACTTAATAATTATTAATAACGGGCATGCTAAGTCCCATTTAATGGCAATGCTATTGCAGTTGGAGTTTATTCACCGGAGCAAAATCCCAGATAGAGAAACTTACCTTTACGATCGAAATAATTGTCCACACAGTGACAGCTTTACATACAAATCTAACTTAAAACGTGAAAAGATTTTCATAAAACTTAAATACCTATCATGTATGAGGCTAAATACACCATGAGGTAGAACAAATGTGATAGGCTACACGGAAAGACGCACGGAAGCGTATCGGTATTGTTAATATAGTGTCATTTTGATATTTATACAGCGTAAACCTACTAAGCGATGATAGTCCAGCAAGCTGTTGCTCCGACTATGCCTTGTTCCACGCTTTGAACGCTTGGCCTCCAGTTGTATAATTTGAATTTTAGACAAACATTGATTTGATTCCAACGTTTTCGTCTGCCTAGTAGTCACAATATCGCAGTTTGGATGGGGAAATTCAAACGCTTTAAACTTTCTGGTTACTGGAATTTGTGTTATTATTGGTTACAAGAATTGAAGGTATAATGCATGACTACAGACACATAATGCTGGTCTGAGGGGTAACAAGTCAGGACGGAAACGTAGATAAATTTGTTAAAAAGACAGGATAGACAATTTATTCACATTTAAAACAGAAATGCAATTCAAGCGAGGCTCAGCACAGGGTAAAAGTATACAAATTGTAAACAACCCACCTAAGGGCCTTCACCTGTTTTTTTTTTTTTTTTTTTTTTTTTATAAAAAAGTTNTATATAAACAAGTTGTCATTAACAAACTAATTAGCATTCCCCCCAGCCTCGATATGCCACAAACCAGTTTTGAATGCCATGGTGCATGACCTTATTTGCATACATTTAATCTGCGAATAGTCTGCTATTGCCTTATTCTTATACGCGAATAAAGTACTTTTTATTATTTTTGTACATAATAATCATATTATGTATAATATCTAGATATGCTTTAAAATCTTGCAAAATGTATAAAACCTGTTCAGTAATAAGTTTAAGGAATGTTCTCTCTGCTGACAGGTGGATTTGGGTGCAATGTTACACGATGTCTTCCCGTGATCAATGCATGTCAATAACAGCTTTGTTAATTGACCCAGTCAATGGTCATGTCTGTGTCTACCGGGGTCAGACAAACTTCATGGCAATCGATCAATTTCTCATCTATCTTATCGACGTTCTTATAACTGTCCTTGGCTTCATCTGATTATTTTGTCTGTTTTTTAAAAAAATTATCACGATGTACATCGCACTCCGTCTTTGTCATTCTTAGCTCACACGCGATTGCATTTCAAATTTACAATGACCTGTGTGTGTGTATGTAGCGTGTCCTTCTGGGTCACTGGTCATTACGGGGACGTCGTCCCAGTTTTTAACAATCAGTTTACGAAAGAAATCCCCAAACATCAGCTACCAACAAGACATTTAAAACTGCAATTCTTTTCATTTATGTCAAGTATATCACATTTTTGATAAACATTAAACACTTATGATTAAGTCATTATTTGAAACTTCTCTGCGTCATATGAATGGCTAGTAAATGTTAAATTTGGAGCAACAGGGTGTTCATATCAAGAGATTTAATAACATTAAGTTAATGACCAGATAAATAACACATCAATAGATAAATCATAGATATAACTGCTACTTTGCATACTTAACGTGAAGATAATGATGTCCGTTAGAAAAGCTATATACATGGCTCGCATATTTAGTTGCGAAATGGTTTACTATAACGCACAGGGCATAATGTAATGAAATTTCGTTTTGTTAATCTGCCATTCTCTCCTTCCTATGTTTCTATCGGCAGTGTCTCTTCAAACACACGACTTAATACGACCTGTCTAGGCAAAATAAAATAAAGCAAAGTCGGCCAAAGCTAACTAGTATGTTTGCATGCCCTTATCACACATCTTTAATGGATGGTAACTTTGAAATGTCAGTAAAATATTGTTCGAACTAAAGTCAATATGAAGATTTAAGCAACAACTAATCAGTTTTATTTTTACACTATTACAGAGTATCTGTATGCTGTGTCAGCCCTTTGCAGCTATAAGATTTCCGAGTGAATAGACACCAATGTATGCCAGTATAGTTGAGTGTCGGGATTGCATCAGCTCCAAGCCGTGAGGTCTACACAGCTGTGAAATCGATCATGGAGCTACCATAGAAGTTTCATCATCCCTCGACTCATATGGATTAAGGTCAAACATATTGCCTACGTCCACTTACATATTGACTTTTCTACACTGGCTGCGATTTTATTTCTCTGTTTTATTTCATAAAATCTACAAATGACATAAAACAGGTAAGTTCATGTGACGGTATGTTTAATCCTACCTACGGTACGGAAGGTAAACACAACTGTATATGTCAACACAATAAGCCAAAACTTCAATTATAATGTCAACAGGTAAACTTAACACCACTACAGGAACCCAAGTGGCACCAAAATAGAAGGAAAGGGTTCACCAAACCCGGTTCATGAAAAAGTGGAGTCGAAATCAAGTACTTCTTGAACTTCCCCATTTTGCACTCGATACGATATCTCCCCAAATTTATGTAGGATTTCGGTCATCAAACATCAGTATTTAAAAGATTAAATTTAAGCTTACATATCACAACAACAGTGGAATGTATATTACTATGATTCCACCTGTTTTTTAAGCGATTTTTCAGTTCTATGTGTCATTAATCTTTTGCTGGTGACTGTCTAGGACAATAAGGAAATACGAATTGGCAAAGGTGTCGAGTAACTTGACTCTGTGTGACTTGCGGATATTGCATACATCTTATATTATGAGATTGATATGTAACTCAGATGCTAAAAATAGGTCAAAGGTTATAATTTCTGTCTGTTTCACCGATGCATTGACTCTCACTGTTGGTGATTGGGTAATTATTACACGATACTATATGCACAGTATTAAATTTTGAATCAGGTGAGTGGTTCATAAGTGATATGTATTTTTTAATAATGCAGAAAAGAAACATAAAACAAAGCAAACGCATCTTTCAATTAAGTCACGTTTGATATCGCCAAAAGCGCGCCCTACTAGTTTTTCTCATGTATAGTTTTCTATGAAATTCATTGTAATCGAGAAATGTCGATACATTGTTTATGCGTTCCTTTTTGTAAGATGGCTAGTTTGGTTTTCCTTTCTATAAATAAATGAAAACATCTTGTCTGAAATTATATGTTTTGCGTGTTGTAATTGACATAAGTATAAAAACATGAAGTGAAATATTTCAAAATATGTACACAAACAGCGAGGATAAATTACAGTGAAATTGAGGCTTTTATATTGTAGGACTTTTTCATTAACATATCTGATTAGACGATGAGAAGAAAAATCCGTAAACTTATCTATGACATCAATACCACTCAATACTAACAGTCGGCACGCACACGTGGACAGGAAATATGGTAATCAAATTATATCATGTAAATAAGCTATATATCACAACAAACACGCACACTGCTACTAACACGCAACTCTCGGTTTTTGACATACCTGATCTATTCACCAGTTTCATTCTGAAAGTTTATGCTGACCGGACTGTATATGCTCCTTTGGTCTGTCTTATGGTCTGTGTAGTGTACGCCTGTGAGCTACGGCGGTCTAGGATATTGTGTGGACGATACGTAAAACTCATTCTATTTATATCTGCCTGTATATGTGGAAATCCCCTTCACTGTTGATATACACACATTTTGGCGCAGTGTATGCAATGGACTGGCGTTTAAAGATCATTCTAGAAAACATTACAGACAGGAGAGTTCGTTCCATGTAAGGGAGCGGTATTTTGTGAATACATTGATTTTTATGTCAACTGAATTTTATCACATACACTGTTATATATGATAACACCATCATAAATACGAGCTGATAGTACTAGGGAAATATCTTTTTTATTTAGCCATCACAAGGAATTTTGCTGTTTTTGTCTATATATATATAAATATTATACTGACATGTACCATGCGTAATGTAATCGATTGTGACGTCACACATAACAATATGATGAAATAACATATTTACGGAAATGTTAAAACTGATGATGTGCGCCTATCATCTATATAGACTTAAACTCGTTTTATTAAAATTATGAATAGCGTAAAGATCGATCCTCTGTACACATGATATATGTTATTATTAAGAATAATTGCCATTTATAATCCATATAATGATTATCATGGGATTAACGATACAGATAATTGTATTGGTTTTCAATCACGATAATATGTATAGATATTTTTCAAGTTGGAAAGAAAAGTTTCCAACCTCACTATCCTTACTTTTTATGTAAAATTGATGATTCATTTTTCGGTGTAAGTATGCGATATTATATTAAGGCATGATGATCCCTTAATAACAGCTTATCATTGTTGCCCTTCGTGTCAAACCAATTATGCAAAGCTGATCTTTTATTGATTTGATACGGTAGATATACTTCCTCGTGTTTACATTGTAATTATGATTGATGTTTTCCCTTCAATTAAAAGCTTCCCGTTGTTATCGGCGAGGGCAGGTAAGTAACTAGAACAACAACGAAGGAACCGATGTTCAATAACATTCCTTACCCAACAAAGACATTATCAAACGTTTAAAATACCAAAAACATATGTATATCATTATTGCATTTATTGTAAGATATATGTTATGACACTTACGTATTTATGGAGAGTGAGTAAATCTTTAAGATATTCAACACTTTGCACACTCCTTCGCTTTGCGTCCTTATCTGTAGTCAACATGTACAACAAGTGCATGACATTTATTATCTAGCGATAACACAGTTTGAAGTGTGCTTTTAAAGTTATAAAGATTTACTTTCAATTACTTATGAAAAGCAAAGCCGGATCTATTTAAAATAGGTATGAATACGTTAAACCTCACCTAGGTCTTTATCTTACGTCAAAAATCCACGTCTTTTCTTCAAAATATAACTTATTTCCCGAAACCGGAAGCAAGGTTGGTTCCGGTTGCCGAAGCGAGTGGACGGACAATAGCGATCTCTCGTATAATAATGTAACCCTAACCTCTACTTGACTCATCATGATCTACTTGGTTGCCTCTACATATTAATGGATACCACTGGTCAAACTACTCCACATTCATCGTAATTTTGAAGATGGATATTCTTCATTCTTCGTTCTCTACATGTGATTAGCGGTCACCGTAGTCCAGTGAGTAGTCGCCATGTTTCGCTAAAATATATACATGTATACATGTACACGTCGTCCACTGATTCATCTATAGTCGTTTGTCTACTCATAAACTGTTATTATACAACATGAACAATCTATCCAGAAAAGTATTAACACTATTAACTCTATAACCGACCCAGGTGTAATTAATGAAGTGGTCACCCAACTCCGGAACAATGACCTTCTCAAGGACACACTCATTTCGAAACTGGGTATCACAGATCTCAGAAACCAAATTACTTCCTTGGAAAATAGACTTGATGATAGTGAACAATATTCCAGAAGGAATTGTCTTAAGTTTAGAGGGGTTCCTGAAGAAAGTGGTGAAAATACTGACTCCCTAATCATCAATGTTTGTAATACGCAACTCGGTGTCATGGTAACTGAAAGTGATATCAGCCGCTCCCACAGGGTGGGGCCTAAGTCTGATTAGTACCCACGGGACATTATTGTCAGGTTGTTATCTTACAGAGTGCGTGCTTCAGTTTACGAGACCAGGTTCTCGCTTTTCACTAAAGCCAGTGACTCTAATACTGAGTCAAGCTCATCAGTTCCTCAACGCCCATACAAGCTGTTTGTTAACGAGGCCCTGACGAAACAGCGTGCTGAAGTGTTTGCTAAGGCAAGATTCCTTAAACAGTCTGGTCTTATCACTGGGACCTGGACCAATGACGGCAGGATAATAATAAGACATAAAAGTGGTGACAAAGCTCAGGTTATCAGGCTCAGTGAGCTAGCATCTTACCCTGATCCCCCTCCCATCAAAGTCCAACGTCGTGACTCGAGGATTCGAACACTGGAAACCAAAGCCCCTGAACAGCGACGTTACATCCAACCAAGTGCTCATGCACGTGATAAACCAGTACCCGTCCTTCAAACATCTAACTCATTCACCTCCTTACCTCAGGAATGATGGTTCAGAAGAAACTTTATATCCCCCAGCAGTTTCCTAGTGACTTATTTTGTATATATATATATTCTTAATGTATTCCGTATTACATATATATTATATATATAATAACCACCTAATGATATCTTTCCATATTTGTTAAGTTTTACTCACTATTAATATCACTATCTTTTCCTTGTATGCCAATTATAATTATTCATGACGATTACCTGGATAATACACAATATAAGTACATTAACACTTTAACTGAAACACAGATTAATTATTTTATGTTGAATTCATAGTATTTGTGTGAAAATAGATAATCAAACCCAACAACCTTATTGTAGAACTGCCATGTCTTTAAATGCAGCAATGAACATGTACATGTTTGCACCATGTGCTTAAAGTGCATTAAGTTATTAAAATTATAACAAAATTCTATCTGATATGTGGAAAGACTATAATGTTATGTATACATGTATACTGTATACTGTTTTGAATATATTCTTATTAAACTTATTAGGGTTCTCCCCAGGCAATTTAGCTGATACGGCTCCGTATCAGCTTCAGTTTGAAATCCTCCCTACCGTATCAGCTTAATTGACACGTATCACCTTAGACTGTGAACCGTATCACCTTGATATTTGTACTGAAGGTGGTCTTTTTACACAAGAAATTGACACTGATTAAATCACACGGCTGACCCAAGTCAAGCAATGACCCCACTGGTCAGTTGCACGATAAGCGTATTGCCACAGGGGGCCTGTAATAAGTGGGGAAGGGGACCGGACGACAAGCTCTCAGGTGTCCGGCAAGCGTGCTCACTGGAGCCTAAAGCAATTACCACCGGATCCGTTTAGCATGGTCAATAGGTGATTAATTGAGGTACCTACTGTTGGATTAACAAATCAAACACTTAATAAATCTATTATAGATTAATTTACTCACATATGATTGCATTTGATAACGCCGAAATAGCGTGTGTATTTAGTTAGTGATGGTCGCCATCTTGGATTGTGTAAAGTACAAACCGGAAAGGGGAATGAAATTCTGGATTTGTCGTTTTTAATGAAGAAGAGTTCAAATAAAAATGCTGTTTTAATCTTTGATCACATTTCCTGACAGCAGTATTAAATACAGTTTTGGAGGAAATAAAAACACTGTACATTTTATTAAAACATTTTCTCTTACAATAATAAGAACTATGATATAAACTTGTTCATGTAAGTGTTTCCCCCTATACTATAGCACAAACAGCTTTTAAATATTTCTTCTTTAAATTATTTTTAATGGGGATTAAGTAAGGAAACAATAATAAAAGATAAGAGAAAAATGTCACAAATGTCATATCTATTATTTAATGTACAACTCATACACCTTTCTATAAATTGTATTTTTTTTAGAATATTTAAAACAATAATATTGCTGAAAATTCAGACATAAGAAACACTTATTTATTTCCTTGATTTTAATGTTCACCAAAAGAAGGTTGGTAAATAAAAGTAACTTTTTGAACATTATATTACACCCTCCACCCCCCTTAGGTTTGATAAGGTATTATAAGGTATTATACTTGCGTGTCCGTTTTGAATGTTCGTTGCAAATGAAACCTATCAGCTTAGAAAAATTCTGGGCAGAACCCTGCTTATGCCCTAGTTACAGGCAATGTTTACATGTATTATTCTAACCGACTCATGTGTATGTCATCCTGATGCTGTCAAGTCAATCACATTGTATAACTTGGCTTTAATATAAATTATTATTTACACAATTGATGCATTCTAACTGGAGATGTACTTGTATTTATAGCAGAATCGTGTTTGTATATGTACTCATACACCACGTATGTATAACTTATACCAGGTGCATCAATTAATTACGTGGCTATATTTATCTATAGAATATAATAAATGTATTACCACTTGGAATACATGCATATGTGTATTATCTACACGATGAATACTATATATATACATGTACTACCAATATAATAAAATGTACAATATAATGTATATATAGTATATCCCTTGAAAAACGAAGAAACTCATCAGCCATAAATTACTCATCTCAATCTTTTATTAACAAATATGTGTACATTGTATGTCTTCGTTGATGACCTAGATCAATCTATAAATATACAACGACCGATACATTTATTTTCACTGCTTCATTGTCCAAAAATTGCAATAATGTCACATTACACTATAAACTTGAATCAATGTTTACAACCCATGTGTGACCTACATGTATACAATTGCCCCCGGCAATGTTTTTATAGCAACATACATTAATAATGTATATCTTGGTTCAAATTATTGATGTAAAGTTAATGCTGTGTGGTTATTCCGAAACTTACCTATGCATATCTATCGTAAAATCTTATCTTGTGAATAATATATAATCCCCAATTCAGTTTGTATATATCTATTTATCACTACGTGTACAGTCACGTCGTCTCTCACGTGCATGACTCATTGGGTCTCAATTATAAGGACTTTCCATTTCTCCCAGTAAACCCACTTGCGAATTTTATTACTGTGTTTAAAGTACCA